AATGCAATAAGATAGAAGAAAAGGCGACAATGAGAAAATTCATTGCCGGCCACACTTGAAAGGCCAATGTTACTTTGAATTACTTTAAAAGAAAATATTATTCAATCTAGTCATGCACGTAAAATCCGCCTGTTTGACTGTTAGGTGACGAAAATATAAATTTACTGGGTTTGTGAGAAAATAACGTGTATGCTTATTTTTTATTTAATTCAATCCTATAGGATAGAAGAAAAAGCAGGAATGAAATTATTCAATCTAGTCATGCATGTAAACTCCACATAATTATATTCTAGTGAGTTTGACTGTTAGATGACCAAAATATAATTTATTGGGTTTAGTGAGAATTAAAACGCTTTTGTTTTTGTTTTTTTTAATTTAATTCAAATGCTATAGGATAGAAGAAAAAAGGAGGAAATTCATTGATCGTGGAAGGCGATGAGAAAGCGGGGTTATCACACTTGACAATCTATTGTTACTTTGGAATATAAATAGTATTAAATGTAGTCATGCACCAAAACTCCACTTGTTACTATGGTTGTATAACTGATTTGTTTTTCGTTGAAATTATGAAAAATAGTATAATTAACTAATTGTATACATTTCAAAAACATAAAAAAATTGTATAATTAACTAATTGTAGTAGTTATTAAGTAAGTCCCTGTTTGAGCTTTTTTTTTCAAAACTCATTTTTAACCATACATCCCTCCATTAAATAACTATGTACTTATTTCAATTTTTTTTCTTATTAACCACCCGTTCTCCAAAAAATCACTATTTCATAGCACATTTTACACCAAAAATGAGAATCAAATAGGGGCGTATTTTATAATTTTAGATATTTGATATATATTATTTTAATTATTAAATAATATTTAAAAAGATTAAAAAATTATAATAATATTAAAAATAAGAAAATATTTTTTTTTTACGCTTAGATCTTGTTTGTGCTCGTAAAGCTTGAAGTTTGGTCTCCACATTTAGTCACGTTTTACGCTTTTTTCAAACATTGCTCAATAATTGATACTCTTTCAAATTGATACATCATGTAGGAAGCTTATCTCTAAATTTGCTTAGCTAAAAATACCAGAAAATTAATAAAATAAAATGGTTCTCATTTTTCTTTAAACTAGGTATTGTTTGACGGAAATTGATATAATATAAAACCTTGAAAAGTGATTTTTTGTCAAAGTTCGGCCAAATATTTGAATTTAATCCAATAGTCAAATTATGAAAATAAATAGACTAATATGTTCTAATCATTTAGTAAATGATTTTGGTATATTTGAAAACACAAAATCAATTTCGGATAAATAAAAAATTGTAGTTCAAAATTTGAAGGAAAATGAGAAAAAACCAACATAAGACAGAGCGGCAACCCAGTCCTAGGTGAGCGACGGGGTTTCTACTTTTGGTGCTCGAGCGGCGCTCCAACGGTAGGTGAGCAACATATTGGATTGCGACCTTTGATGAAAAATGCTGAGTTTTGGACGTGTCTTTTCAACCACAGCTCCTCACATTCTATATAAAGGACCCCTGGAAGCCATTTAGTCATTCCACATCACGTTCTTTGTTGATTTTGCATTAAAAAACATCATCAAAATAGTTTTCTTCTACATTAAAGTCATGATTGTAGTAGAGAGAATTTTGTTCGAATTCGTAGGTCTATGTAATTTGAATGATCCTATTGCGAGACGTGGTTATTGTTACTTGGAAATACTTTATCAAAAATATACTATTGAGTTTGACTGTTAGGTGTGAAAAATATATTATTATTTAAGGAAAGTCAACAATGAGGAAATTCATGGAATGGGGAAGGTGACGAGAAACACAGGTTCTCACATTTTTAATCCATATCGTCAAGTCTTTAAAAACTATTCTTTTACTTCGAAATACTTTATAAAAAATATTCTATTGAGTTTTACCGTTAGATGTGAAAAATATATTATTATTTAAGGAAAGTAGCTGAGGAAATATAAATTTGAATTCTGTTGGGAACACACCAGACCACGCACAAGCAGGTGGGGCCCGCCATTTTTTTGTAATATTTAAATACACTGTGGAGTCTACTGTTTTAGTCTATTCTGGCCAATTTTTGTTGCTTCTTCTTCTGTACAGACGGGAAAAGCCTATAAATTTACGGTTCGTGGGAAGATAATGTGTTCGCTTATTTTTAATTTAATTAAATGCAATAGGATAGTTTGCACTTTTCAATTTCCCCCCATAAAGAAACTCAGATCAGATCCAATTGAAATACTCAGAGCACCTTTCGAGTTTGCAGAATGAACACTGTTCAAGATCCAGATATCGTTGCCTTGTACAGAAAAATAAACGAAAATCCAGAATACTTGGATGTCCCCAATGAGATGACATTTGTGGAGTCACCTCTTCATACCGCTGCTTCAGAAGGCCGTACCGGCCTTGCCCTTGAAATCTTGAGGCTAAAGCCTTCGCTGGGGAAGAAATTGAACCTTGATGGTCTTAGTCCACTGCACCTGGCTTT